TACAAGGAGTGTCAGCTGCGCTCCCTGCCCTCTAGGGACTGACGCTGCCTTTGCTCACCGGGTCTGCTGCCCCCACGCTCGGTCTGGGGGCAGGCCCCTCTGCCCCACGAACCGGTTATTAATGCATAATGGCTTTGGCAAAAACAAAAAAAAATGCACATTTTCTTCACATCGCAGTCACAGCTCGGACACTGCTCGGCCGATATTTCCTCCTAATGAGCCCTCCCAGTCTTCTTGCCTTTTTATCATGGGAACGAGCTCTCCGCTGCCATCCTCTTCATATTTATCTGCTCTGTTTACTGGCAGAGAGGTAGGTTGAGCGGGCCTCATATCCATAAATATCACAGAATCCACAGAGGGCTACAGGCTTGGTCCTTCATCCTGGCTCCATCACTAACAATTTGCAGCCTAAAGAAGTCGTCACTCCCTCTCTGGTCCCTCTGTCTCTGAAGTAAGTGAAGGATAACACATTAAAAAAAAAAAAAAAATCGATTGGTTTCTGCGGAAAAGGGGGAAGGGCAACTCTAAGTTGGGCTGAAAAGACACTTCCCAAGTTTTGTTAATGCTGGAGATGGATAAAGCCTTGTTTCCGCCTCGCCCCATCAGCTCCTGGCTGAACCTGACGCTTCTTATCTGGGCTCCCTACCTCCAGGCACTTCCTCTCCCATCCATCCTCCAGTTCCCCCAGGTTAATCTTTCTAAAGCAGAAATCCAGGTGAGTCACTTCTGTTAAAACCCTTTATTGGCTCCTCGCTCCCTTCTGGAAAAAGTCCAACTCCTCTGCTCTGTGTGAAAAAAACTCCATGCTTTTGTTTTGTCCTTCTCTCCAGCCTCTCACCTGCTGGGCTCCCCTCACCTCTCACTCTACGGTACCCGCACAGCTTCCAAGAGGGCCCCCAGCTGTGTGCCGCAGGGCCTTTGCACATGCTGTCTCCCTTGTCTGGCATGCCCTTCCCCCATCAGCATCAGGCCTTTTCCCACAAGGCCCCTGGAAACCCGCCCTGCCCACCAGATTGGAGCTCGCCAAGGGCACAGGTCCCGCCGTCCGGACATCAGCGGGGCCCCTGCGCAGGGGTGGACACAGAGACGGGGCGCACAGGTGCAAAACCGGAGGCTTCTCTCTACGTCTGCAGGACGTTGTCAGTAGAGTTCTCAGCTTCCATTCTGGGCTTAGTGGAATCTGTGCTTCCTAACACCCCAGTTTGGGACAGGCAATTTTTAGTTTTCAATATTCCATTTTTAAAAACACAACATTTTAGCACCGAGATGAATGCATTTTGTCAGGCACTGACGCGGGCTGCCTCCTGTCCCTGAGTCTCCTTGCAGAGGGCGGCCTAACCAACGCACCTCCTCGGCGACGGGGCTCTGCAGGGCTGGCTGTCAGGACAGGAAGTGTCCTGGTGACCCACTGGGCCTGGGCACAACCTCTGGGGCCGCTCCCCCACTGTCCACACCTGAACAGGGACCTCCAACAAAGGACAGTGCCTCAGTGTCACAGAGGCATCGCGTTTGAACTGCGGAACCAGCTTACGTTTCTGAACGCCCACTCCAAAACGGACCGCCCTCCGTGTTCCCCCACTCGCCTGGGCTTCCCTGTCCTACTGGTGGGTGACCCGGCAGGTCAGCAGGCAGCCAAGGACACTGCAGAAGGGTCAGCTGCATGGAGCCGGGCAGCGACCGCCCCTTCCAGATGGAAGGAAACTGGGAGGGCAGTGAGCAGCGGCTTCCTCCTCGGTCCCGAAGGGGCCACAGGGGAGGCTCTCAGCTCCCACGCCGGCCCCCGCTTCCCACGGCAGCTGGGGGACCTGAGCTGGGGCGCTTTCCGCGTCCCACTGGGGTGCGCAAATTGAGTGTTGGCTCAGCTTTCCCCTCTGTGGGCTTTAGGTGAATCTAGGGCAGGGCCTGAGTCCCAGCCAAATCCGGAACCCCGCCAGGGCCATATGCACAGTCGTGCTCAACCTCTGAGTCCCGGTGCTGGGTGCCGGGGAAAGTGGAAAGCGGCCACTGCTGTCACGGCCCACCTCCGTGGGGCCCGCAAACCAACCATGCCAGGGGCTGCCAGTGACTCTGCCCTCTCTCTAGTCTTAAATGTCACCTTTCAGGGAAGCCTTTCCCCAGCTCTTTAGGGAAGTGCGGTGTGATTTTTTTTTTTCCTTTGAAAGTAAAGTAATTAATGGCCACTGACGTTTCTAAAATCATGCCAGGCGCAACAAGGACATAAAAGCTATGATGTCGTTCCTCCACTGGCCTCCTGTAGCCTTCGGAACAGAGTCCAGATTCCTCCCAGCATGGCCCCTGCCCACCTGGCCGCCCTCTGCTTTTCCCCACGAGCACTGACAGCGTCCTCACCAGTCTCAAGATCCCCAGCTCGCCAAGCTTGTTCACGCCTCAGGGCATTTGCACTCGCTGTCCTTGCTGCTGGATGGCTTGTGCCCGAGATGGCCACGTGGCTGTCAGACCTTAATTTCAATGTCACTTCTCCTTGGAGTTTTTCCTGCCTACCCAACTTAGCGACCCCACAGGTTGCTGTCTGTCACAGGCCCTTCCCATTGTCTGCGCAGCCGTAAGCGTGGTCTGCAAACGTCTCCCTCACTCTACAATGGCAGAGCCGGTGTGTGGGGGATCTCGACTCAGCGAGCTCCAAGCCTACACCGCCTTACTTTTTCGAACTGCTTCATTCCATCACGCGCTGCCGAGCCCCCGTTCTCGCGGGGCCCTCGCGGCAGGCTGATCTGAATACTTCCAGGTACTCTTAGCTGTTGACACTCAGACCAGGCCAGTTTAAAACTCTCCAGAAAGGGGGAAAGCAGCAAGAGCTTCATGTCTCTCTCTCTCTCCCCCCTACCCCACCCCCTCGTACCTCCCAGGGGCAGGGCGCTTCTTTTTCCCTGGCAGGCCTGTTCCTGGTCTGGTTCCTTGCTGTGATCTCCCCAGAGGTGGGGGTGCCTGGCGGAGCCCCCTCCATGGCTGGCATTCCTTGGGAGTGGGCGGCCGTAGCCCCTGGTCCTGCCGGCAGGGCAGCCCCTGACATTCCCAGGGAGCAAGCAAGCAGCTCCCTTTGCCCAGGGCCTGTCTGGAGAGCCCAGTGACGCCCCCCTCTGGTGGGTGAACTGCTAATGAGTTGGGGGCACTTGTGCTCCCTGCTGGTGACGCAGGCTTCTCCCCACTGAGTCCCCCAATTCCCGGGGCTGTGTGCCAAGCTCCCCCAGGTCCCACAGCCCAGTGAGCACCCAGCTGGGGCCGCCTCCTCTGAGTAGTGGCCTCTGTCTCAGGAGGAGTCTCGTGGAACCCCCTTTGCTTGGTTCTGGGGGTGGGGCAAGAGAGGAAGTGGTACCCACTCACCAAGACCATGACTTGACCACCCAATTTTCTGATATAAACAGGAAACAGTGGGGGTGAGGAGGAGTCGGGGGTGGCTGCTGGACACAGGGACAATGCTGCAAGGAAGGTATCAGTCCCCAGCCTCCTGTGATCTCTTTAGGAAGTGGGTTACTTAGCATCTCTTTGTCCACAGCTGTGCTTCCCAGTAACCAATTCTGGGGCAACTGGAAATGTCCCCTCCCAGTCTCCTTGGTTGTTTTTTGTAGGTCTTCCCTTCTGGAACACGTGACAGAAGACTGGCAGCTTGGCATCGCCAGTGCTTAGAAAAACGCTGGGCGCGCTGTGGGCCCTTGGTGCTATCTCCTGAAAGAATGACTCAGTGGGAAGGTTGCCGTGGCCACAGTGACTTCATGGTGAAAAGTAACCAGGAGAGGAAGGGGGACGGGAGGGGCCTGACCGAGATGACAAGTCGTGCCTGACATCTTTCACCTGTCATTTCACTTATCACAGTGACCTTGAAGGCAGCCTAATCATCACCCTTTGCAGATGAAAGGACCTCCACCTGCTGCGGGCCAGGCCCAGACGTGGGCGGGGGAGGGGCTGCGGCTGTGAGCCAGGCCGGGTGGTCCCTCGGCTGAGGCCCTTAGTTCTCTGACTCCGGTTCTTCATTTGTAAAATGGGAGATGACTCTCTGTTGTAAAGATTAGGTGAGCTAATACATGTCACGTGCTGAGCTCTCGGAGAGACCCGGCAGGTCGGAAACAGCGACCAGAGCCGCTTCCTCTGCTAGGTCGTCGAGACGCACTCAGGTCTGCCCACCCCCGCATCTGGCGCTGTCTGCCCAACGCCCCCACTGCCGCAAGGCCAGAGACCTGGGGACCGAAGGCGACGAAGCCCTCTGGGCTCTAGAGCCAAAAGGAGCCGGGGGCCGGGGTGAGGGTGACAGTCCGAGGCAGCCTCCGGTGCCAACCCGCGCCTGCAGCCTGATGCGGGCGGCGATGAGGAGCCTCTGTGGGTCTTTAATCAGAGGAGTGGAAGTGGTGTTTTAGGAAGATTAATCTGGCAACAGAAACAGGATGGAAAACAGTCCAGCTCAGTACAAAGAATTATGACTGCTGCCTGGCTCACCGAGAGGCGGGCCATTAAAGGAAAGTGGCCTGGTTCTGGGCTCCCTGGCGCTCAGGGTTCCCGGCAGCTGGGAGGGGCTGGCCCTCACTACGAGGCATCAGGGGAGGCCGGCAGAGGGCACTGTTCTGTCGGTGACCCTGGCCCCTTCAAGGCAGCTCTGGCCTCTGCACGACCACGAAGAGGCAGCGGAGCCCCACGTGTGAGAATCAGGAGGCCGTCAGCCCCTCAGCCCTGCGACGAGTCTCAACTGCAGCAAATTGCAGGCAGTTCCATTCCCGCTGCGGGGTTTGCGCCCCGTGGAAGGCCCTTGGTGGGGGGGGGGAGCGCCCCGTCCGGTGAGCGCCAGCCCCCACAGGAGGCGGCCGCCCTGGTCCCCACCCCGGCTCCTACGGCTGCTCTGGAACCAGCAGGCTAAGTACAAAGTGGACCCAGGGCTGCCCCGCCAGGAACGGAAGGAACTGATGCTTCTACATGTTCTCATTTTATTTAAAGCACAGTAGGTGGGACGGGCCGCGGCAACCCCGCCTTCTCGCGGCCTCCCCGGAGTCGGGCCCACTGCCAGGCGGCCGGCAGCACGCGGCCCCTCACACGAGCGCGCGGAAAGCCTCCACCTTCTCCTGGTACAGCTGGTGGAACTGCCGGGCCAGGTGCTGGAAGGGGGCTTCGTAGTTCTCCATCTCCTTCTGCGGACACAGGCGGAGAGGCCGCGTGCGGCGTGAGGCCTCGCGCAGGCGCCACGCCCACCCGTCTCGCCGCCCCCGCCCGCCACGTGGGGAGGCAGCTCTCACTGTGCCTGCGCTACCAGAAGGAAACTGTGACACGGGGAGATTAAGTAACTTGTCCAAAGCCACACACGTTTCGCAGGGGGGGAATGTTCCCACAGAGCCTGTCCTTTCAGGCTCTCACTCCATGGGAGGCAGGGTGTTAAAAGACTTCTGGCTTAGCTTTGACAAAGGCCACAGACAAATAGCCGCGAGCAAGGACCCTCACTCTAGAAGGGGGGCCAGGCTGGGCGGCCACTCGGCCTTGAGGGCAGGACTGTGCTGTGGCGTTTCCCTCCCAGAGGGAGCCGCCCCCTCACCTCTAGCTCCTGGGAGGTTCCGAGAGAAAGCCCAGGGCTGGGGGCTTAGGGGAGAATGGGGGCGTGACTGAGGCTGGCAGCTTCGGGGCCCGGCCAGGAGCGGGTTCACTGGCGCGCGAGCATCGCCCCCCTGTCCGTCCGGGGCTGCAGCTGCCCTTCCCTGGACCCGCCAGCCTGGAGCTGTCTCAACGGGACGCTGCAGGGACGGCTTCCAGGAGGGTGACGGGTCCCAGCGAGAGCAGATGGCCAGGAACCACAGCTGCGGGAGGGGTGCGGAGGCACCCTAGCCTGAGGAGCTAGCACCTCTCACGGGGAGACTGCAGGTGAGAGCGCGCCTGATGGGGGCAGGGACGGGGCACCGCTGAAGTGCTCAGAGCATCAGCCTGAGAACCGGCACGTCCTGAGGGGCCACCGCAGGTCCAGCCGAGACCCCATGCCCTCGCACCTCTCCCTTCCCCCTGCAGGCCGCGGGCCGCCAGCTGAGCTGGGGGAGGCGCAGGTGCGGGAGCGCACAAGCGGCCAGCCTGGCCCTGCTTCCCCCGGCGGGGCCGAGCGGGGCGGGGCGGGGGGAGGGGGGCAGGCAGTGGAGGCGCTGACTCGAAATTGAGTCAGGAATTTTGATAGTCACTTAATAACCAAGATAATATTTTTGTGCCTAAAGGTGCCCAAAGGACTTTCTCTTACTCTTTGGGTGCACACACGTATTAAAATTTTACGATTCAATTTATTTAAACTAAAAACGATTCAATTTATTTAAAAACAAACAAAAAAAACCCCCAACCAGATCACCCATTTCTCTCATCCCTACTCGGGCAACCACCAATCTGTTCTTTGTATCTATAAGCGTCCCGCCCCCTCCCCCCTTAAGATTTCACATATTAGAGAGATCATGCGGTAGTTATCTTTCTCTGACTTATTTCACTTAGCATGATGCCCTGAAGTTTCATCCATGTTTATGCAAATGGCAGGATTTCCTTCTTTTTTATGGGTGGCTAACATTCATATATATGTATTTATATATATATATGTATGTATATGTATGTATGTATGTATCTCACAACTTCTTTATCCATTTATCCACTGATGGACACTGAGGTGGTTTCCACATCTTGGCCACTGTGAATAATGCTGCAGTGAACATGGGGGCAAAGGTGTCTTTTCAATTTAGTGTTTTCATTTGCTTACAGTAAAGACCCAGAAATGGAATTGCTGAGCCATATAGTAGCTCTATTTTTCATTTTTGAGAAACCTACATATTTCTCCATAGTGGCTGTACTGCGTGCATAGTTTTAATTTTTTTTTAATAAACTGGCAGAAGAGAGAACCCACTACTTTCAAGGCAGCGGCTCAGCTATGAAGACACAAGGGCCTGTTTGCAAACATCCTGGCAGCTGGCAAAAGTGCAGCCTTGGTTAGAGGCAATGAACTATCCCTAGTGAACGGAAGAATTTCCAAACCAAAGGATGTTACGAAGCCATCACACTCAGTGTTTTGGGCCCAGAAGCAGGGGGCCAGTAGGTTTGCACAGAGCCCAGCTTAGAATTCAGATTCTGTGATTTGAGAAAAGCAGCCTCTGGACTCCGCCAGCCAGTAACAGAAATGCACCAAGCAAACCAGTCCGGGGGGGGGGGGGGCAAGTTACCTGGACTTTTTAGCAAGGGAATCCCAGGGCAGAGGAAACAAGCTGGCCCTGGGGAGACGGAGGTGGCAGTAAGCGCTGCGAGTGATCTGGAACAACAGGACAGTCTGGAGCCCAGAGGAGAACCCACACCAAGCTCATGACAGCTGACGACAGCGGAGCTGTCACTCTCCAGTCAGACATAAGAGAAGTAACTATTATACCTGCCAAGCACCTTGTGTTGGGCGCACTGTAAACTCCTAGGCAACGCCCATGTCAAATATTAGAACTGGACCCCTATTTTACACCATTCACAAAAATTAATTCAAAATGGAGGAAGACATGAACTTAAGACCTAAAACCAGCCCTGGCTGGCGTGGCTCAGTGGACTGAGTGCCTGCCTGCGAACCAAAGGGTCGCAGGTTTGATTCCCAGTCAGGGCACAAGCCTGGGTTGCGGGCCAGGTCCTCAGTAGGAGTTGTACAACAGGCAACCACCCATTGATGTTTCTCTCCCTCTCTTTCTCCTTTCCTTCCCCTCTCTCTAAAAATAAATAAATAGAATCTTAAAAAAAAAAAAAAAATACCAAAGACCTAAAACCATAAAACTCCCAGAAGAAAATATCAGGAAAAAGCTCCTTGACATTGATCTTGGCAGTAACACCAAAGGCACAGGTAACAGCAGCAAAAATCAACAAGTAGGACTATATCAAACTAAAAAGCTTCTGCACAGCAAAAGAAATTATCAACAAAATGAAAAGTAACCTATGGAATGGGAGAAAATATTTGCAAACCACACATCTGATAAGGGTTTAGTATCCAAAATATGCAACTCAGACATCTCAAGAGCAAAAACATGAATAATCTGATAAAAAATGGGTAAAGGACCTGATTAGACATTTTTTCAGAGAAAATATTCAAATGGCCAATAGGTACACAAAAAAGGTGCTCAGCATCACTAATCACCAGAGAAATGCACATCAAATCCACCATGAGATGTCACTTCACACCTGTTGAAATGGCTCATCAAAAGACAAGATGTAACCAGTGTTGGCGAGGATGTGGAGAAAAGGGAACCCTGTGCACTGTGGGTGGGAACGCAGACTGGCGCAGCCACCGCGGGAGCAGCATTATGCTCGGTGAAATAAGTCAGAGAAAGACAAAACTGTATGATCTCACTTGTGTGTGGAATGTGGAAAAAAGCCCTTATGGAAGCAGAGAGCAGATTGGTAGTTGCCGGGGACAGTGTCGGGGGTCGAGGGGGCGCATGGGTGCAGGTGGCCAAAGAGTACAAACTTCCACTTTTAAGATGAGTGATTTCTGGGGATGGAATTAAAAATTTTAAAAATCAACTCAGGGAGCCATGTAGGCACTGCCCTTAGGCCCGCTGGACGGCTGCACCGCGTTCAGTAGGGAGAGAGGAGGCAATGAGTGTGGTGTCAAGACTTGGCTGTGTCTCAAACAGCATCTCGTTATGTTTCCTTTTTAATTACAGCTTTCTTAACCGGGCTGCCTCAGGGGGGACTAGTTAACTCGCACAGTTAATACTGAGTGCTTAACTGCAGCTTCCTCAAGCACGATTTATACCCGCCCGTGCCAACAGCGCGCAACACACACCGGAGTTTAGTGCCCGCAGCCCAGTGGCCTCTGGTGACCCATGTGTTGGGGTAGGTGTTAATTTTGGGATTCCATCAAGAGTTCCAGGGTGCTTGGGGCGTTGGGGTGAGGAGCAGTTGCGCAAATGTGAATGTTGAGGGGGAATACTAAAATATTGTTTGCTGTGGGTAGTACGTGCTATGTAACAATGCTATATACCGCAAAAGCTTGCTAATTTGAACATTGTTAATTTAGCATTTGTAATCACTGGGCCAGAGGCAAGAGTGGCTTTTCTCTTTGAACAAGAGTGGCTTTTCTTTGAACAATCTATGAATTCAAGGATTTAATAAATCATAAAAGTGTAAACAAGATTACTGGGGGAAATATTTACACTGTTAGAAAGTTCCCACATACGGAGTGCTTACTATGTGCCAGACTTGGCGCTAAGTGTTTTTATATTCACCTTCTCACTGAATTTTCCTGTCTGCTACTCAGTGAGGAGCAGCGCAGGGAAGTGGGGCGCGGCAGCCAGCACCTGTGCCCCGTGGCTCTGGGGTGGACAACAACTCTGGGCAGCTCCCGCGGGGCCGGTCTTTACTTCACTCCCCTCTGCGGGACACTGTCACACAAGCACGTCTGATTGGTAAAGCCTGAGTCACATGCGTGTACCTTAGCAGCAGGGAGGCTGGAAGCTCAAAACTCCCAACACAGGAAGGGGTTCACCAGCCCTGGATGGCAAAATTCATCAAGTGTGTGCACCAAGGGTGCCAGCAAAAACTGCTTGGATTGTCCCCCACCAGTAGGGCTACTGCTGATTCTGCCAAAGGACAGTTTGTGGCCTGGAGTCACCTTGGGGCTGTGGCAAGGTGGGACAAGGAGTTCTGAGGGGAATCGGAAGCTACGGACCCTGATCCGGGCTCAACCCTCGACTAGTCATGTAACACTGGGCCAAGACACTTCACCTGCTCAACATGGCAGTGGGAACTGGGGCACCAGCTCCTGTTCATGGGGCTGAACGTGAGGATCTATGAAGTCATGTTCCAGCAATGCCTACCCCCTGGTATCTCATGCAAACGTCAAGTGTCACTGTGATTGGACACAGTCCACTTGTATTTTTCACTAGCTGAGATACAACGTTTCCCGGGTGGCTGGCTGATCTGCTTTATTGAAATGTGTGAGTGACTCTCGCTGTAATGAGAAAAGGTCTTGGGCAAAGGATGTAAAACATCAGTTCCAAATTCAACTCCGCGTATGGTGGAAGAGCAACTCAATCAAAGCCTGTGGGGTCATGTGAAAAACTGCTTCCAGCAGAGGCCCACTCCAGACTTGGCCGCGGAGGAAGCGGAGACACTTACCACGGATGTTTCGAAACATTCCAGGCCTTGGCCCAGCGCCCACGCCCGGGCCTGAGCCGGCTCCACCACTCGCCGGCTGGCCAGGTCCGTCTTGTTGCCCACTAACACGCCTGCTCGAAAGAAACAACCAAAGCGTCGCATTTCACGGGCCGCCTGGGAGGCCGGCTAGGAGAGCAAAGAGCAAGCAGGCTGATTCTGAGGGGCATTAAAGATCGAGTGACAGGGTCCCTGGTTCGAGGCGGTGAGCAAGGCAGGGACACTAACATGTCGACCCCCAAGGGCCACCGCAGAGCAGGCTTTGCTTTTCACACAAGCTCCTGCTTGGCCCTTTCCCTGGACTTCCTCTGTAGCTGCCTGCTTTGTCGCCTGAGGGCTGCAAGCGCCCTGAAGAGGGGGCCAAATTTATGCGAGCATTTGCGATAAACTCCTGGCTCATGGAGCAAACTTTAAAAATGGTCATTAATACTAATCTGAGGACTGGGCTCAGAGTCAGGGATTCGGAGGTAATTTAGTTCTGTCCCCAGCTGCATAAGCTGCAGCTAATTTCTGAGCCTGTCTCTGGAGATCGTTTTTCCTGGTCTATAATGAGGAGAATTTGTTGATCTCATACAGGGATGAAAAATAAACTGATTTAAAGCATTCAGAAGTGACAACAGCACTTGCATGTTTACTTGGGCCCCGCATACAGGAGAAAATGAGGCATTTGTCCTGTGTTACCTTTCCAGAAATAACAGCCCGTGCTCCCGGCACAGCCCCTTCCCCTTTGTTACCTGAGTCTCCCCACAGCCCCACAAGGTGGGTGTCATCGTGCCCATTTTACAGACTCAGAGGTGTGTGGGAACTCACTGAGGTTTCTCTGCACAGGCCGGAACATCCCACTCAAAGCCCAGGGCACCCCTTTTTGCACCCACAGCCAGCTCTGCAATGACCTTGTGCTCAACTCGAAAAGGAGAGGTGCTTCTGGCAAACCTGGGTGCCCGCAGGTCCTACCTGGGAGGGAGGTGCCTGGCACCTGTGACTGCGCCTTCTCCAGCCACTTACTGCAGTTGCTGAAGGACTGCTCATCGGTCACATCATAGACGAGACACAAGACATTGGGACTCTCCCACTGTGCAAGAGGGACAGGGTGAGCACATCAGTGACAGTGAAAGTGACTTCTAGGGTGGGAGAAAATGGGGCTAGTTTTCTGGGAAGGGACACGTGGATGGAGGGAAATGAAAAACTGTAAAGGTGACGTGAGTCAGACAACTGAGCCCCACCCACAGAAGAAATCAATTCACCCAAAGGAATGAATGGAGGGGCGGGGTCACGGCGGGGAGGGCGCAGGAGGAGGTCTACAGCGGGAGCTCACGTCCCTCCCAGGCTCTCTGCCGGGGCCCTGGGCCTCATCGGGAACCCCCAGCCTCGCCTGCTGGCCTCGGGGTCCCTGCTGCGCAGTGGCAGTGCGGGGTCAGACACACTTTCAACACCAGGGTGGGCTGCGGCTTCTCTGCCCGCCGCTGGCCTCCGCAATCCATCCGTGCTCGCATCCCTACTGACGGCCCACTACAGTGCACGAGGTACGCCTTCCTGCGCTGCAGGCCCGGGAGAGCATCTTCTCTTTCCTCGACCCGCCATCTGGACGCTCCTGTGCTTACATCTCCTTAAAAAGGGCCGCCTTTCCACAATGCGCAGGGCGCTTTCTGCTTCTCCTGCGGTGCATCAGCCCTCATCCAAACCAGACCACTGGACAGGGCCCAGTGTCCCGGTTAAGAACCAGCGCTATGCCCTCAGGGGCTCTCACCTTCAGGAGCTGCTCAGAGTCCTGGGACATCCTGCTGCTCGGCACTGGGCCATACAATGGCCCTGCTCAGGCTGGGATGCGTGGGACCCGTGGCCACACCCTGGTCCCTGCAGACCCCCGCCCGGTGCAGGGAGAGCCTGGGTTACTTCTGAGGTGTCGTCACCTCCCAGGGTGTGAGGAAGAATCCTTTTCCCTCCAGTTGTCCTTGGAAGGGCAGCCCAGAGTCACTCCAGAGGACTCACCTCGCTGCCCTCAAGGCCACCCTGGCTCCCAGAGGCCTCCGGGGTGGGAGGAGCATGGACAACACCAAACTCACACCTTCACACCACAGACGAACCCCGGAGCTCGTGCTAGAATTACACTGACCACACCCCCCCCATGCCTGCAGGAGACCCCTCCTTCCTCGAGCCGAGCCCCAACGAGGGACCCAGGCGAGTCCCAGGATCGAGTGGGAGCTGGGGCAGGAAGCCTGGAGGCAGGGCGTGAGCCGATCGCGGCCCTGGCCTCCTGCCGGCGGGGCAGCACCCAGCACCAGGCTGTGCACATAATAGGAAGGCATGCAGTGAACATCATGCCTTTCTCTTAGACAACAAGGAAAAAGGGGGCAGGAAACAATTTCTATTAAAATGTAGCCGTTCTTGGAAAGGCAGGGGAGGGCTCTGGAGAGCGCAACCTTTCTAATTAGCTCAGTGGCCCAGATTAGCGGCACTGTTACCTGGGAAGGAATGGCAGGCTGGAGCCCGAGAGGGTGGCAGGGTGGCTGGCTGGCTGGGCGTGAGGAGCCCTGGGCTGCAAGGGTATGTCCCTGAGCCGGGCCCACGGGACCAGGGAGCGGGCCGGGAAGGTGGGCCTCACGAAGGGGCCCCTGGAGCACCTCACATTCTGGGGGGTTGCGCAGGAGGGCTGAAAGGGCACCGTCGGGAGGGGTCTGCTCAGGAGGAGGGAGGCCCCAGAGTGGGCGGCTACGAGGACCGAGCCACCCAGCTCTGGCACATTTGGGACCTGGGGGGAATCGCATGCCTGAGTCACTCCCACGAGCCCAGGGGCCACCAGTCCCAAGGCTGGGAGGAGGGCCCCTTCCAGAACTCTGTCACGATACCAGAGCGCAGCGAAGTATCTGTGAGAGCGAGGTAAAGGAGCAAACCTTTTGGCGGGAGATGGTGGGGGTCAGGAAATAAAACAACAGGCTACTTGCCAATTTATCCAGCATTTCAGAAAACAGCTCCTTGCCAGCAGAGTCAAAGATGAAGAGCTCCTAGAATCAGAAAGGTGTGTCCTAAAAATGTCTGTCCACACGGGGTCGGGGGTGGGGGGGTCGGACCTCTGTGGCATGGAGGCTGCCCCGCCTCCCCAGGGCCGTGGTAGGTGACAGGGAGGGGGCGACCTCCAGGGTGCCGGAGAGGCAGGACCGCAGCTTCCCGCACTGACCAGCGCGCTCTGTGCGGCGCTCACCTTTCCTACCCTCAAGTGCAGAACTACCAGGAACAAGTTGCCTTCCCACCTGGCAGAACAGAATGCTAAGCAGGCTGACAAGTGCTCTGGTTTCCAAAAGGTCACTCTGCACTTTGTTAACCAAATTGATTTTCAAATCTTAAAACCACTCTTTTAAAGGAGGTCACTGAGAAGGCCTGGGAAGGCGTGTAAAGTAGGACAGTCTGTCACCATTCTGGACGGCCACAGTGTGATCCTGATGGAGGACGCAGGGTGACCCTTCCAGCCCCAGGCCAGACCGCAGCCAGCCTGTGGCAGAGCCCCTCCCCAGCGCTGTCGCCTAGGGGGTCTCCCCTACTTGCCCTCTTCAGCTCCCTGCAGGCGGTGGGCATTCCTGGCTGGCTTCCAACCCCGGCACATGCTGTCTGAATGTGAGCGCGGTGATCCGAGCCGCACGCAGGTTACCTGGGCATCGTCTTATCCCTTCTCTCTGCATCACACACCTCTTTAAGAACCTGGTGATTCTCAAATCTTCTCCCCGGGAAAGCACATACACGCATAACATCTCGTGATTCAATTTCAAGAGTTGTGGGGTCCCAGAGAGGGACCCAGGTTCAGAAACTTGACAGATAAGTTCGGTGAGGGCAAGGCCCGTATTTCAGTCTTAACTTCCTTGTCTTCCGCTCTCCCTAGAATGCGTCCTCTGTTCCACCATTCTGTTCGCAAATGCTCACTCGAGTCCAGGCCACGTCCTGGCACCCCACCTCCCATAGGGAGGACAACGGTGACGGGGCCCAGCTACAGGGGCACTGACTCTCTCAGGTCAAGGGCACCACTTACCACGCTGTCCCCTGTGTCAGGAACTGGCACCGTCTTCACCACCAAATCCGTGCCTGTGGTCTGCGAGGGAAACCAAGAACATGTGTGTCGGAGGGCCCCAAGGGGTGTCACACAGGAGCACACGACAAGTACCAGCACCCAGGAAACATAGCCTCGGCGCAAGCATTGGTGTCCTGGACTCACTTTTGGTGCAGACGTCAGACCTACCGGTCTTGTCCGACTCCCTGCCCAGAACCGAGCTGCGCGTGGTGACTGAGCTAACCACAGGCTGGTCTGCCCTGGGGCTTTTGGGAACACACTTCCCCATGGTCATCCCAGCAGCCTCTCGGGGCTGCTCAGGGCAATTTGCAAGCCTGTGTGACCCCTGCACTGAGGGCTTCGGCCAGGCCTACAGCCCCCACAGCTCACCAGGGTATAGTTCTTCTGGAAATGGGCTCCATCGCTGCGGAAGATCTGCGCCAGGGCGGTCTTGCCCACTGCGGGGTCTCCTGGGAGGACAGAGTACCGGAAAGACATCACCTCCATCCTAGCCTGACCTGAGAGCTTCCCACCGCAGAACGCTTGTCTAGAAACCACACTTCAGGGAGTTCTCAGAGAAAACGCACTCAGTTCTCATGGGAACTTGCTGTGAGGTCACTGGCAGGGCAATGGGTGCACGAGACCCATCTTCAAATCCCACAATGGCCACATTTCTCCAAGGCCAATCCTTTCATCCACAACAGTGGACCCAGAAGGTAACAGAGCTGAAGGCAGGTGTCAGAGCACCGGAAACAGAGCTGCTGCTCTTCCGCGACACATGCCCTGCGGGGGAACCTGTCACTTTCAAACTGGAGTTTACTTTGAAGTCCTAGAGGTAAAGAGGTGTGGCCAGGCCCACGGACAGGCTCAGCTGACGGACCAAACCAAGCTGAGGTTAGAGTTTCTGTATACCATTATTTTGGTGCAGGTGGGAGTTAGGAGGGTTTCTGCATTTGTCGGGGGGTGGGGAGGGGAAGATGCTATGCTCACCATCCTGAAATCCGTTTCCAAGTGATACGCTGCCCCTCCACCTGCCCAGGGGCCAAGTCTGTCTGCAGCAGCGCCTATTTTCTCCAGGCTCACCTCACACCCCACGGGTTTCCCGCCTCGGTGTCCTGTTAGTCCGCAGCCCCGGAAATGGGCATTTCAAAGCTAAAGGTTTATGTATGTCACAGCTCCAGCCTGACAGCTGGACTTCTCCCAGGGCTGTTGGGACAGTTTAATTTGGAGCTCCTCCTGCGCCCCCCCTTCACCACCGTGTCCTTCCCACCTCCGCACCGATGGCACCGACGGGCCTGCTAGGCCTCCTTCCATGCCGCGCCGTTTGTTTGCAAGCCCTTCTCCACCTTGGGAGTCTCACACGAACGCCCCGCCATCATTGAGCCCCCAGACAGGACACCCGTGCCCAGCTTTCTCCCCACGGCACTCGTGTCCCGACCTGCACCTGGTGGCGCAATCTCTTCACCTTTGCTTCCTATTTCACAGTCAGCTCAACGCTTCTCTTCACTTGACTTCCTGATAGCCTCCCGCTCTGTTCGCTTTTCAGTTTTGACTTTTCTCACCTATAATTTTCTCTTGTGAGACAATGATTTGACTTACTCATGGTATATTTCATTTCACGTTAATTCCTCCGGGTTTAAATGAGCTATTCAGGTCTTGCTTTTCTAGTATTTGCTACCATGTCTTGCAAGGGAAATAACACAGGTGGAGCCTGCCTCCTGAACTCACTCATACAATCTCATTCAATCTGCCCCTCCCCGCACCCCGGATTATCATTAACCTCATCTGACAGGTGAAGGTCTCCCTGGGATCCCAACATCATGCTCTCTGGGCCTGACTCCGCTCCTCTCCTCCAGCTCAGGGACCCTTCTGACCCATTTTTAGCGCAGGCCCTCGTCACTGCAGCCCTCCATGACACTGGGGGCAGCCACAGGCTGGAGTGTCAGCCAGCGCCCACCCGTCTCCGAGTGCAGAGCGCACATCACTCTCCTTGCTTTATGACGGCTCCCACCCTCCCGACTCCTATTTGGCTTCTGAATTCAGTTGGAAATTGGCTCTTCCTGCTTGTGAAATTCCCCACAGATTTGTCCTGGTTAATTTCATAAATCTTCCTTCCGACTGCCAGTGGCAGTCACGCACACTTAGGGAGAGCGTCCTGTGTCGGCTGGGGAGGGATCCGAGCACAGTGAGGGGGGAGCGGACAGGCACGTTTGCAGAGCAACAAGACGACAAGTGCAAATTCAAACAGCACAAGCTGAGAACCCGAGCGTCTGAGGGTGCATCAAGGAAGGAAGGAATGAGTCGTTTCGTCGGTGGGCAGACTTCCCAGCGGCGAGGCCGAGCCTGGGGGTGATGGCAGGGAGGGGCGCTGCTTGACAGAGCGGGTGACATTTGCAAAGGCACAGTGCTAGGGTGACCGCAGAATCGCCAGGTCCGATGGCCTTTTCTCAGTCCTCATGCTCCTTGCTGTCTCGGAGGGTGAGTCAGCCTGAAGCAGCCCCCTCCTTCCTGAGCCCTCTGGCCTGGTGGCCCCGGCGACCCTTCCCTGGCCTGGTCCCCCTGCCTTTCCGCCTACTCCTGCCTCCCAAACGAGGGCAGCCCTGTGCGTCTGTCTTGGCCCTCTGCTCCCATTTCCTCAGCCCCCGTTACTCTCGCTACCTTGACTGCCGCTGTGGAATGACAGGCCGCCACGCAGTCTGTCTACAGCCTGGCTCAGGTGGAGCCCCTGGGCCCTGAGCAGTCTCGTCCCCACCTCATCTGCTCGTGATGTCACCATTCACGCTCATTGTCCTCAGTCTTCACCCACAGTCACCTCTGACTCTCCTCCTTCCTCCCACGTTCAGTCTCCTCATTCCTGACTCCCACGTGACCTTGCTGTCACTGGCCACGGTGCCCGGTTACCTCACACCTGGGCTTCTGCCGCCGCCCCCGGCCCGCCAGCGCTGGGGCGAGGCTCCTCGCTGCAGTGACTCTCCGTGCTGCCCTGCTGCCCCCTTTGGCCTTCCGGGTCCTCCCCGTGGAGTTCAGTCCCACACTAAACCCTCGCCGCCGGGACACCTCGTGCAGCTGCTGTGCTTTTCTTGGACCGACTTCCGTAGCACGTGGGGCGAGCCCGGAAATGGGCATCTCAAAGCTAAAGGTTTGTGTATGTCACAGCTCCAGCCTGACAGCTCGACTTCTCCCAGGGCTGTTGGGCCGCAGACGTGCTTGGGGCTTGGCACGGCCCCGCGTCTCGAGACGCAGACCCTCCGGGCGGTCTGAAACTGGCTCAGCTGCGTCTTGCCCTGTCCCCGGGGCCGAGCTCCCTGCTGGTGGGCAGCGGGTACCAGCGATCGGCGGCAGGGGGCGGCCCGCACGCTGGGGGCGGAATTCCTGAGGCGCCACCCGAGCCGGCAGCCTCCCTGGGGGTCTGGGTCCTGCCCTGTGGGGTTCTTCTTTTCAAGCTTCCCGCAACCCCTCCCCCCGCTACCGTTCCGTGTCACCGCAGTGTTTTCCTCCTGCCTTCCTCAGCCTTCAGCACCGGTCGAACCGATTCCCTGTGTTAAAATTTCTCTGTTGAAATGCCTAATGTATTTTCTGCTTTCTTGACAGGGTCTTGCCTGAAAACACCCCCCCGCCCCGGACCCTCTCCTTTTCGTATTCTCCCCTGAGCCCGGGCCTGAGCCCACCCGAGCCCGGCGCCACAGACGGCCGCTCCCACAGGGCCCGCCCGGGACCCCTCCCCCGCAGCCTGCTCTCCGACTATCCCTACACAACACCTCCGCTCCACACGTCCATCCTCTGTGTGTGTGTGTGTGTGTGTGTGTGTGTACCTGTAATAGCAAATACATTTTTCTTTTTTTATTGAGGAAACATTGGTTAGTAACATTATACACAGGGCCCGGCAGAAGTATGGCCGATAGGGTAATAAAATGGGTGGAATAATTTATATTTCAATTCGAACATTTCACCTAAAATGTCCTATAGTATGCCTTGGTGTGATATTGTTATGTGACAGAATTACATGCTTATGATTTTGTAATAAAAGATTTTATAATAGAGAAGGGGCATTATTTGTGCCGGACCCTGTGCGTACATTGTAACTCGGTATGTGTGTACCTATTTCCTTGATCTCTGGAAATCCCTCCTTCCAGGTCTCCCGAGTCCAAGTCCAATCCTGCACAGCCTCTGAAGGTCAACTCTCCGTCCTGTGCCTTTACCTGTGCGGCCCCCATGGCTCACACCACTGCTGGCATGAGACCTGCTGTCACAACAGCCTTCCGGTGAGGCACCACTGCCATCGCCAGGTACACTGAGAGGAGTAAACCCCAGCGCTGAGGGCGCTGGCTCCAGCTCCATCCCTTACTGCGTGATGAGCTGCGTGACCTTGGGCCAGCAGTCTTGGGGCCTCTGTTGTCCTATGTGCAAAACGGGGATAACAGCACCTATTTTACAGAATTTTTCTGAGGATTTAATGAGTTCATCTGTACAGTGCCTACCAGATGTTAAGCATAGTTAAGTGATCGTTAGGTAAGTAACATGCAGACAAACGTCAAGTGTTGTTCTCTCCCCGGACCGAGCCAGCACAGTCAGCAGCTGCGCCCTGCAGTCCTTCCCTGGTGCCCGGCGCACAGAGGGCCTGCATTCTGTTTGCTGCATTGTATGTTACTATGTACGTCTCCGCGCTCCCTAGGGGCTGTCCTGACTCATCCCTTGGCCTACCAAGTCCTGCACGGTGACTTATACTTAGTAGGTGCTCAGTAAATATCTGTCGAATAAATAAGCACTTGAATTGAACATCAGGTCCTTTAGCGACTAGTTATGTGAGAAAAAAAAGGTAGATTAACTCAACTGAAACAGGCCTGTGAGGGGCAGGGAGCAACAAAACCAGAGAAGGGTGTGTGTGGGGGCAGTGGAAACAGGGATTTGGTGGGGAGGGGTGGGTGGAGCTGATTCACTGTGCTGACGTCTTCGGGTCCCTGGAAGTTCCAAGAGGAGCTTCCCTGAGGCTTGCAAAGGAGGCTGCAGGTTGAGGGCTTAGGCTGGAGTTCAGGAATCCCTTGGGCGTGGTTGAAACCAAGGGAAGCAGTGCCTGAGGGAGCGGGTGGAAGGAAGGGCAAGGAGCCTAGAATGGAGGCTTGAGGACAGCACAGCTGGGGGCTGAGGGCGAAGCCCTGGAAATCAGATCGCCTGGGTCTAGGTCCCAGCTCTACCACATCCGCTGTGTGGCCCGGGGCAATGTCTTGACCCCTCTGGGCCTCAGCTGCGCCACCTCTAAGTGACGATGACAACGATACTGACCCCACAGAGCTGTCGAGGACTCAGTGGGATGACAGTGGGGACGGTCTGCACAGCGCTGGCACGTGGACAGTGCTCCGTAAGCTAGCTCCATGACGGGAGTGCAGTTGAAAAAAGAAATAAAAAACGGTTCAAGAGAAAAGCCCCCTTTTAAAAAATGTAACTTCAGAAAATAAAAACCTCCCCACCTTATCCATGAGGTTAAACTGCGGCTCAGAGAAGCGCTTTGTCCCGGAGGACACAGCCAATGAGAGGAGCGGCTGGAATTATTTTTGCTACACGATATTGCCTCCCTGGCGCCCTGGAAACTAGGGCCTCTCTTCAGAACCATCCATTTCTTTTGCTCCACGATGATTTGAGTTACTGTTGTCAGTCATCTTGCTCTGTGACCCTTTTATTTCCAAATTAGAAGTCATTAAAATGATCGTTTATTTCCGTCTGGAAGAGATGAATCAAAAAAAGAAGAATCTCTTTTTTCTCATTATGATTTCTCGCTGCTTCTTTCCTGAGCTGGTCAAGGAACCCTGGTTCCAGGCCACAGACAGGCTTCAAGAGTAACGCAGGTGAAGAATTTCGGAGGTGGGCAGATCTGGGGGGATTGATATCCTGCCTATGACCTTCCCTCACTAGGGGTGACCTTGGGCAAGAGGCTTTACCTCTTAGTAAGATCAGAAGACTACAGCATCCACCCCAGCATGGTACTGGGAGAAGGTGAAATGGAATAGCTGTGCCTGGCAGGCAGCAGGGACTCAGTGAAGTACATACTTGTTCTGTGGTCCCAGGTCTCTAATCCAGGCAAATGGTTTTCTAAATGTGCAGTGTGGTACAAAGAGAGCACCATAAATGTGAATGCCACGTATTCATTCATTCTACAAATATTTACTGAGGACCTACTAGCTTCCAGATATTGTTCATGTGCTTGGGATGCATCAGTCAACAAAACAAAGATTCCTGACTTTGGGGGATTTAACACTTATGTTCCCCTTAGTGTGGGCGCGGTACAGTAACTTTGGGTTTTAAAGAAAACACGTGCGCTTTTTGTAAACTCTGGTCAACGGTACAGTCTCTAACCCCTGTTATCAGAAGGGGGGCGGGGATCAGGAAAAATCCCCTAAGGAAAGATAACCAAAGCCATTGACGCCTAACGCGTGGTTTAGTTGAAGCACCTTTGGTGTGCTTAGCCTGCTGTTCATCGAGTCTACGTCTCCCGAGCACAACTCAGACTGGTGAAGGCGGTCTCAGAATACAGCAGGGCGCCGGGGAAATCAGCCGCAGCTACCACTGTGCTCTGGAAGAATAGCTCTTCCCCGCCTAATAGAATCTACACTATTAGTAATTGCATTAACTCGTTTTTGGGCGAAAGGGAGAGAGGGTAGACAATTTACGTGAACAAAAGCTCTCGATATCTTATGAGGTTTCTGGACTCCAGACATTGTACATTTCAGACTCACCTGCCAGAATGCATTTGGCTGCCAGCTTCACCATGGTAACCAATCACCTCCACGGACCAGACCGGAAAAGGGCGGTTGCTAGAGGCGCTGGGGCCTGTGGCCGCGGTGGGGACGGGGACAGATGGTCCCGGACACTCTAGGCAGGACAGGGAGCGGCTATCGGGCGCTAGGGTTGGGGCGAGGGCACAGGGGATCGCCAGGTGGAGCCCTGTTCAAGTTCTGACGGAAGGGGCCTGGAAGGTGCCAGCGAGGTGTTGCGGTTCTCGGCTCTCGTACCCGGCCCAGCCTCCTGCCAGTGGGGATCATCAGGAAGTGGGACCCCACTATACTGAGTTCCCAAGCACCGCGCCAAACGAACTGACCAAGTAGCCGCTGTCTGCCTGTCCCGCCTCCTCGGCCTTCTCGCTGAGCCTCGATTGGCTGCCACCACAAAGTCCCGCCCAAAGCTTTTGGGGGACCCGTGGGAGAAGGAGGAGGGGCTAACAGACCTTCCTTGTAAGACAATTCGTAGTAACGTCTGCTCTTCAAGCTTACTCCCTTGGCTAATGGTTGTAAAAAATACCAATCATTTCCACATCTTATTCCTCTGCACTGACGGAAAGTTCAGGGAAAACAAGCTCCAACGTCTTGTAGCCAGAGATGGACAAAAAAAGCTTTCTGATTGGCCAGAAGCTGGCTTGGCCCATCTTCGGGAGGAATGGGGGTTCGTCGTATCCCCTTGCCCTCCTGGATGTGGATTCTCCCACTAGTGGCCGGGTCGAGAGCGCGGGAGGCTGGAGCGGCGCCTGCGCGGTAGACCAGGCCGCAGTTGCTGAAACGGAGCTTAGAACGGGTTTGACGTCGCAGAGTTTCTGGTCGCTCCCCGAATTCCCAGGTCCCGAGGGGCGCGCCCGTGAGATGCATCAAGATATCCAGTCCTTGCCCCGTATCCCGCAGGAAAATCTCATTTTTAAAGCCCACGGATGTTACACTTTTTAAAATCTAAAGTGTGAAAGGAAGTGTTTAAAGTGGTGTCAGCGAACAAAGGGAGAGCAAGCAAACTTGGACGGGGGTGAGCAATTGGACTGAGGAATTTCAAATGCGCTCTCTCTGGGCGCATTTCCTGCCTTGTAAAACGGAGACCGTATCTCACACACACATCGCCTATTGAATGAAAGCGAGCCTCCAAGAAGTTGTGGTCACACAAGGGACGCCCCACTCGTTCTGCGGTTAGGAAACCCAAACCGAAATCACTGCCATCTTCCTGACCCAGGCAAGTCACCTCACCCCTGAGCCTCTTTCCTCATCTGTAAAGATGGGCTATTGAACCCACTTCAGGGCTTGTCCTGAGGCTTCAAAGAGCAAGTATGTGTCTGGGATATAGTAGGGGCTCAACACTCAACCGTTGGGAATGAGTGAATGAGAAGAAATTTATCTGGTTGGATTCGGTTTATCATCGTCATCATAGGCTGGCCAGATGCACTCCTGCTCCCCCTGTCCCCTGAAAGGGAGGAGCAGCCTCAGGGATTTGCTATCACATGCCTTCCAGTTACCTGAACCGTTCGGCTCTCTCTCAACTGCTCTGGGTCTCAGTGTAGCTAATACCAACCTTGTACAGGGGAATGGACCCACCCAACCTCTATAAATGGCTGTGAAGTTTTCAGCCCCTGAATCTGCAGTGAACCATGCGAATTGTCTGGCATTTTCTCTTCTTGGGAAGCCTTCCCGGTATTCTGGTTCAAACCTGACTCTCCTTCATTCCCCTTACCTACTTTTTTCCTTTGGAGACAGTGCACATCTGTCTCAGACACCCTAGGCCTCGGTGAATCAGAAGGCTCTGCCTGGTCTTCCTGTCTCCCCCTCCAGGCTGTCCTGTTCCCTGGGACCCTATTAGTCCCTTAATGGACCCCTTGACTGAATCAGCCTTCCGAGGGAGCTCCGTGGAGCTGAGACACTGATGCACATCTGGGGGCCTCCTCTGGAGCCTCAGTTTCCCCCTGTAAGGGGGGTAATAGCACATCCCATACAGGGCTGCACTCCTCTGCACCACATCCTCTCTTGACCTCTCATTGCTGTTACTCTGTGACTTTAGTCAGAGCCATCATAAGAGCATTCTGGATCTTTCCAGAGAGATGTAAACCTTGTGTACAGAACTCTGCTCTCCTCATCCCAAGGACTTTCTGTACATTCTTGATGACTACATGGAAGATGCATGGCTGAGATTCATGGGCTGTAAGGCAGACAGAGTTTTGGTGTCATGAAAGGCCTGGAGAAATTCTAACCAAACCCTATTGGAGCGACTGTAACCGTAAGAGCTGGCATGTATTTGAGGGCATGCTCAGTGCTGGTCCCATTCGAAGTGCTTTAAAGGACTGATTAAGATTCACGTTCGTACTTGATATTCACAATAACCCCTATGAGGCTCTTATCATTTCCATGTGATAGATGGGCAAACTGAAACCCAAAGGAGGTTAAGTCAAATGCCCAGGACTACATAGCTAGTGAATGACAAAGCTGGTAGTCTACCACCCCCTGACCCTGGCGGCCCCCCCCCCGCCCCCGCCGCCACCTCTAAGTCCTCTCCTAGTTCCTCTGCTCCTGGAGAATAAGCATGGACTGAGTCCCTTGCGGTAATAGCTCATGCGGATTGAGCATTGTATGCCAGGCACGTGCAAGCACCTTACATCCTCTCTCTTGTTTGATGCAATGACCCTGGGAAGTGAAAACTATTATTACTTCAATTTAACAGGCAAGGAAAGCGGGGTCCAGAGAGAGCAAGGTCGTGCAGCGAGTCAGCCAGAATCAGAACCAGCTTCAGGTCACTTGCTCTTGGAACTGACTTTTTTTTTTTTTTTTTAATAAATTAACTAGAGCATTCTTTTCAGTTTCATCACTAAGCTTTCCCTCAGTGCCTATCGGGACCAGGCACTGTGCTGGTTGCTCGCGCCCCCAAAGTAAAGGTGACAGACTCCCGAGCAGCTCTGGCAGATCATGGCTGTGTGAAGCGGCCGGCCCTGACTTTTCTGGAGGGGCCCAGAACCTGGGTATTTGTGTGAAACCCCCCAACTCTCCAATTTTGGTAATGCAGTTAAGTGTGAAACACTGCCCCTGCAGTAGAACGCCTCTGTTGACTCGTTCGGCGTGGGGTAGGCGGCTGCCCAGCTGTGACCTCGAGTCAAGAAGGAAAGACAATTGTGGGAACAAATCCTTGTGACATGAGTAGATACAGGACCCCAAGGAGCACTCCTCATGCTGGATAAGTGGAAGGGCGTAGGGAAGGAGATCCTGGAAGGAGAGCCCTGGAGAACGGGTAGGAGGTTAGGAGGTGGACGGAGAGGAAAGGGCATTCTGGGTAGACGGAATGGCATGTGCAAAGGCATGGAGTTGCGGGAGGGAGCGTGTGCGCATGTGTAGATGGCAGGTGACACTCGTTGCTTGGGTGGGAGGTTCATAAGAAATAGGTCTGACCTGAGCACCTGCTTGGAGCTTAGTATATAGCAGAATAGCGAAAGAGAGTGAGACAAGGCCTGGCATGAAACCTTTGAGGAATTCACTCAACAAATATTTTACTGAGTGCTTATTAAGTGTCATGCGCAGCATTGCCCTTGGTTCACAGGGCATAGCCAACTCAGTGGGGAGGCAGATAAAGAACTGACGACCTATGACTGCGCGTGGTGAGTGTTGGACAGGACTCGTTGCATTAAGACTAAATAATCTATGCTGTGGTTCCGGGACCAGAGGCATCAGCATCACACAGTGACCAGTTAGAAATGCACATTCCTAGGCTCCTCCCCGGACAATGAAACACAGGGGTGGGGACCACAGTCTGCATTCTCATAAACCTTTCTGGCGATGCCGACACCTGCTCATGTGTGAGAACCGCTGCTGTTAATCGTGCCAGGACCCCCTTTACCCACTTCGTCTGGTTGTTTTACTGTATCTCAGTCTCCCCCAAGCCCCTCCCACCTCAGGGCCTGTGTCCTGACTGTCCTCAACATGAACGTATGACACTTTCCCTCACGACCTGATCTCTGTCGAAATGCCATCGCTGTGGAGAGGCCCCCCAAGACTCAATGGAAAGAATTGGCCTCATCTGTCGGCCTCCATATCCTTGTCTTACTTTACTTCCTTCACAGCATTTACTGCTACCTGATACTCTACTCTGTGCTTATTTGTTTACTTGGATAGTGTCTGCCTCCACTGCAAGGTTAGCCTCATGGGAACAGGGACTTGGTTTCTTTTGTCCTCCCAGCATCTAGGACAGTGCGCAGCAAGGCAAAACACTCGGTAAATGTTTTTGAATGAAATCTCGTAGGGGTTACCTTTCTGGTCATTCATGCATTCATTCATTCAACACGCACAGATTCTTGAGCCCCAGTTCTTGTGTAGGTAACGAGCTTATTGGGGGAAGGGGTGCCGTGGCCATTCAGGTAGGGGTAGCCTGATGTCTGGGTCCTCCACGCCCCCTCCCTCCACGGCAGGGCCAGCTCCATACCCATAGACCCTCCAGACCCCCATAGGCTCCACGGAGGAGGAAGAGTTGACAGCGCTGCCCCCCAAACCAGGGACTGGGCTGTTTGGGCTGATTAGGAAATGAGAGCTTTGAGTGAGAAGGACGTGGAGAGGCAGCTGCGGACAATTTGTTCCCAGGGACTGTTCAGCCATCCTGGGGTTGAACGCCTCCCAACGGCGCTGCCGAGCGGCGTGTGTGTGAGCTGCGGCTACGTGCCAGGGACGCGCCATACTGCTCCGTGCCTGGCGCTCCGACTCATCGTGCCCGCGGCGGGTGCACGCCCCTCCGCCATTGCTCCAGGGGCTTCTCCTCCGCCCGGGCTGCCCCTCAGAGCCCATCACCTGTGGAGGGTATTGGCCGATTTGTTGGACGCGCACAATCCCTTCGGATAAATAAGAGACTTTAGGGGAAATTAGTGGAGAAAGAGCTCCGCATGGATCCTCAAGAAGAATGCCTTTCACACATTAAAGCAGATTTGTGCTCAAGCAGGGCAATGCAAAAGAGAGGGCTAGGGGATTCAAAGGGATTTTACGGAATAAGATCAGGCACTGCGGACATTTTGGATTGGATAGTTCTCTGTTGCAGGGGGCTGTGCTGTGCCTTAGAGGATGTTTGGCAGCATCTCTGGCCTCACCCACTAGATGCCAGAGTTATCTTCCTCGTTGTGACAAAAATGTCTCCAGGAATCGACAAATGCCCCTTGGGGGTCAAAATCATCCAGGGTGAGAACTACTGGCATAGGAGGAGGAAGTATTGATTTTAAAACTGAAATTTGCACGGACTGGGACTCAGGCTGCCAGGGTGTGCAGCCTGCTTTGCCACTGAACCTTCCTCTGAGTGTTTCTTCATCGCTGCTCTGTGCGTGCCCGAGGATCAACTGACGCAAGGGGTCTAGAACAGCACCTGAC